AGGTGGGAGCCGGGCGCGGGGCGGGGGCGGCGGGAGCGCGGTGGGGAGGGACGGGGGGGACGCGGGCAGCGGGGCTGAGCCCCCCGGGCCCCGGCCCCTCGCCGCCCGCCGGCGGAGATGGCTATATTTGGACAGTGACCTCTGGTCGTTCCCGAGCAGTCGCTGCGGATTCAATTGTGGCAACGTAATGGCACGGCCGGGGAGCGGGGAGCGGGGCTGTCCTGCCCGTATCCTGCCTGCACCCTGCCCGTATCCCCCTGCACCCTACCTGCACCCCACCTCTCTTCGCCAGCATCCCATCCCACCCCGCTTGCGCCCTGCCTGCACCCCACCCAGCTCTCACGCCTGCACCCCACACCTGCAGCCTATCCAGCCCTGCCTGCACCTTGCCAGCACCCCACCTGCTCCTACCAACCCCTCCTGCGCCCTACACATTGCCTGCACCCTGCTCAACTCCACCTGCACCACATCTGCCCCCCAGCTGCACCCCACTGCTGCCTGCACCCTGCCCGGACAGCCAGGCCGTCCCTTCCTTCCCTTCCTTCCCTGCATGCTGACACCCCAGACTCTGCTCCACTGGCAATGCTTGAGGGGCAGGGAGAGCATCCCCACGGAGCCTGCTCGCTCCTCCCCGGGGCTGGGGACCATGCTTGAGACCGGGGGGGTGACACCAGCAGTGTCCAGCCCCGCTTGGTGGCCCGGCTTGGGCCCCTTAGCACCCAGCTCTAAGCCGTTCAGCCAAGCCAGAGATGATGCTGAAGTGCCGTGGGGACTCCGGGGACACTCAGGGACTGGGCAGATGTGGTTTGGCAGGGCGCTGCATGTGCCCTGTGCAAAATCCACCGGCTGGGGGCCATGGAGGAGCAGATCTGCTCCTGCCTCTGCCCACACCGGCTCTGTGGGCTGGGGACAGGGGTGCCTGGCCATGGCTTGGTGGCTGGATGTGGCTGCTGACCATGGCTGTGTACCCAGAAGAGCACAGGGGATTCCCCAGGGTAGCCAGTGGCTCATGGGTGCTGCAGAGCCCCAGCTCCAAGGGTTTTGTGCTCCTGAGTGTCTCAGTCTCCCCGTGGGGCAGGTCCCAGGAGCAGCACAGGCTGGGGGCTGAGATGGGTGACTGTGGGCATCGTGCCCAGCTGTAGCTGAGGGCTGGAGACCCCACTGAGGCCCCTGGGGGGGCTCCTCCACACCCCAGTGTGCCCATGGGGCTGTGTCTGTGCCAACCCCAGCCCTCACCCAGGTGGGGATGCAGAGTGGGTGCCAGGGATCTGTGGCACGGGACAGGGATCCATGGAGAGAGGCGTGAGCCACCAGCAGGCAGCTCTGGAGGCACAGCCCTCCTCCTGGGTGCTGGGTCAAGCCAGGCAACCTCAGGCCACTGATGCAGGAGGGGATACAAGGGGACAAGCTGTGACCTGGTGCATGGCACCTTTATGTCCACCCCAAAGTCCTCTCCACCCTGCTACTCTGCTGCAGCAGCTCATGTGCCAACCCTAGTGCCAGCCACAGGGCATGGCACAGCTGTGGGACATGGCACAGCTGTGGGGTACAGCACAGCCACAGGGCATGGCACGGCCACAGGGCATGGCACAGCCACAGGGCATGGCACAGCCATGGGGTATGGCACAGCCACAGGGCATGGCACGGCCACAGGGCATGGCACAGCTGTGGGGTACAGCACAGCCACAGGGCATGGCACGGCCACAGGGCATGGCACAGCTGTGGGACATGGCACAGCCATGGGGTATGACAGCCACAGGGCATGGCACAGCCACCGGGCATGGCACAGCTGTGGGACATGGCACAGCCATGGGGTATGACAGCCACAGGGCATGGCACAGCTTTGGGACATGGCACGGCCACAGGGCACAGCACAGCTGTGCATTATGGCATGGCCATGTCCCTGCCCAGTGTCAAGTGGCTCTGGCCACCAGCTGGCAGCCCCCAGCAGCACCTGCAGCACCCCCACATCCCTGCACAAGGGCCGCCCCTGCTCCCTGATGTGGGGTCAGGGTGGCACCATCTCCCACCCTCATTCCCCGGCACCTCAGTGTTCCCAGGCTTCCCGCTGTGCCCAGAGTAGGAGGAGTCTCTCGGAGCACGAGGCCTGAGGGGACCCAAACCCCTCCGAGCCGTGCCAGGGTGGGGAGCTGGTGGCCTGACCGTGTCCCCCCAGCCATGAGCCGCCGCGTGGTGCGCCAGAGCAAGTTCCGGCACGTGTTCGGGCAGCCGGTGAAGGCAGACCAGATGTACGAGGACATCCGTGTCTCCAAGGTGACATGTGACAGCTCCTTCTGCGCTGTCAACCCCAAGTTTGTGGCCATCATTGTGGAGTCCGGCGGTGGCGGGGCCTTCATTGTCCTGCCCCTCGCCAAGGTGAGTGGGGAGGATGCTGGGGTTTGGTCATGCTGCTGAGATGTGTTGGGGGGCATGTGCTGATGGGTTTTGCTTTTGCGGACCTGCTGTGGCCCCAGAGCCCCCAGCTTTGCCCCAGCAGCCCCTCCTCATGTGAGGGCTCAGGGCAGGAACAACCTGGGGGATCATCAGCACCTGCCAAGGCTGACATCCCTGGGGCAAGCGAGGTGATCTGGAAAACCCCCAGCTGCCTTCCCCCAGCCCAAATTCCCTGGGGGCACAGCATGCCCAGGGAGCAGCACCCAGTGGAGTAGGGGTCTGCCCTGCCAGCCCTAGCAAAGAGACTGGGAGAGGGTCCCCAACCCCTCCTTGCCATCAGAGCAGACACAAACCAGCCTCTCATGGGTCACATGATTCTCTTCTGTGTCCTTACGAGGTTTTGTGCCAGGTAAACCCCATTTGCCCCATGTGCCTCAGTTTCCCCCTTCAAGGCAGGTGCAAACCTCTGGCCACTGCCAGAATCCCCTGCATGTCCCCATTTGTGCCATGTGGTGGCCAGGCTGGGCTGTGGGGGGTACCTGGCAGGGTCTCTCCGAGGGGACTCATCCCGGTCCCTCACCGTTGCAGACAGGACGGGTGGACAAGAACCACCCGCTGGTCACGGGACACACGGCGCCCGTGCTGGACATCGACTGGTGTCCCCACAACGACAACGTCATCGCCAGCGCCTCGGAGGACACCACTGTCATGGTGAGGGGCTGGACGCCGTGTGGGAGGGGGTGGGGGTGCTGGGGGAGCGGTGCAGAGCATCCCCCCCCTCGCTGCCTGTGAAGTGTCACTGGCCTATTTTTAGCCCCGGTGCCATGCGTTCGCGCTGGCGGCGGCTGCTCGCTCCATGATGCAGCAGTTTGTGCTAAATTTACCCTCCCTGGCGACTCAGCATGCAGGAATAGCTGGGGGGGAGCTGGGGGCTGCACCCCGGCTGTGTCCCCCTTCCTGTGCCCACCAGCACCCCCAGTGCTGGGGGTGCACCCCAGGATGGAGGCACTTCTGGCGTCCCCTCGCCACCCTCCCCGCAGGCTGAGCCGGGATTAATGATGAGGTTAATTGGCTCCGAGGCCCTCATCCGCTTAGTGCTCACACACAGGGTGATCCCCAACGCCCCCGTCTCTGTCCCCCCCAGGTGTGGCAGATCCCCGACTATGTCCCCGTGCGCAACATCACGGAGCCCGTGGTGACACTGGAGGGACACTCCAAGCGGGTGAGCATCATCTCCTGGCACCCCACCGCCCGCAACGTCCTGCTCAGCGCAGGTAAGGGGGTCCCGGGTCACCCTCCCCGGGGTCACAGGAGATCCATGGGGTGACAGCATCTGCCCCCTGGGTCCTCTGCAGGCTGTGACAACCTGGTGATCCTCTGGAATGTGGGGACTGGGGAGATGCTGCTGGCTCTGGATGACATGCACACTGACCTCATCTACAACGTGGGCTGGAACCGCAACGGCAGCCTCCTGGTCACCACCTGCAAGGACAAGAAGGTCCGTGTCATCGACCCCCGCAAGCAGCAGATCATAGCGGTGAGTGCCCCTGCTGTGCCCCCCCATCCCACCGCGGGGTCCCCCCAGTGCCTGCCTGACCCTACTAACCCCGCCCCGCGCGTCTCTGTGTTTGATTTAACCCGCTAACGCCGGCGCAGGAGAAAACCAAACCGCACGACGGCACCCGCCCCATCCGCGCCATCTTCGTGGCCGATGGCAAGATCTTCACCACGGGCTTCAGCAGGATGAGCGAGCGGCAGCTGGGCCTCTGGGACCTGGTACGAGACAGCGGCTCCAGCCCGGCCAGCGCCAATCCCACAGATCTCAGCCCGGCCGGGAGCGCTCTGGGTGCCAGGGATACTCTGGCAACGCTCAGGGAGCATCGTGCAATAGGACTCAGCGGCGGTTTTGGGGGACAGATCCGGACCCCCTCCACATTCCCTCCTTCCCATGCCCCGTGCTGACTGTCTCCCCCTCCCCCCAGGAGAGGTTTGCCCCCCACGAAGGGCTGAGGCCCGTGCGGGCCATCTTCACGCGGGAAGGACACATCTTTACCACGGGCTTTACCAGAATGAGCCAGCGGGAGCTGGGCTTGTGGGACCCGGTAACGAGGCCGCATGGAGTGCTGCCCTGGGAACTTGGCCCCCCAGACCCCTTGCTAACCCCCCCGCCCCAGGATGCCGTGTCTGCTGCATCCCCCTCCCAAAAGATGCCAAGTTCCCAAGTGTGCCGTGCAGTGCTGGGGTGGGGAGTGGGCTGGGAGGCAGGGAGTGCTGGGGAAGGGGGGTACAGCCAGGCTGGGGGTTCCCAGCCATGCAGGTAAACAGGAGTGGGGCTGGGGGGGCATGCCAAGCTGCCTGCCTGGGGGGTTGTGTACCCCAGAGGGGACAAGCCCTGTCCCCCAGTGTGCCGTGGCTAATGAGTGTGACTAACCAGGGTGGGGGTTTTGGGGTCACTGCTCACACCCCTCCACCACTGCTCCGGCCCCCCAGAATAACTTTGAGGAGCCCATTGCCCTGCAAGAGATGGACACGAGCAACGGGGTCCTGCTGCCCTTCTACGACGCCGATTCCAGCATCGTCTACCTCTGCGGGAAGGTAACCCCCCTTCCCCGGGGTGCACCCCAAATGCCACCTTGTCCCTGAGGATGCCAGGGCTGGCTAACACCTGTCCCCACCCCCGCAGGGTGACAGCAGCATCCGGTACTTCGAGATCACGGACGAGGCTCCCTACGTGCACTACCTGAACACCTACAGCAGCAAGGAGCCCCAGCGGGGCATGGGCTTCATGCCCAAGCGTGGGCTGGATGTCAGCAAGTGTGAGATCGCCAGGTGAGAGCCAAGGGAGCTGGGGGGAGCCAGAGGGGTCCGGGGGGTCAGCTGGGCCCTGACAGCCTGTGCCCCACGCAGGTTCTTCAAGCTGCACGAGCGCAAGTGCGAGCCCATCGTCATGACGGTGCCACGCAAGGTGAGCCGGGGGGGGTCCCAGGGGAGATGGGGGCCTGGGGGGAGACACCCCACATCTCACCGCGCTCTCTCTCCCCCCGCAGTCAGACCTCTTCCAGGATGACCTTTACCCTGACACGCCAGGCCCCGAGCCAGCCCTGGAGGCAGATGAGTGGCTGTCAGGGAAGGACGCAGAGCCCATCCTCATCTCGCTGCGGGATGGGTACGTGCCCATCAAGAACCGGGAGCTGAAGGTGGTCAAGAAGAACATCCTGGACAGCAAACCCCCGCCAGGCCCCCGACGCAGCCACTCCACCTGTGACTCCGACTTCTCTGTGAGTGTCCAGGGGATAGGGACGTGGCAGCAGAGCTGTCCCCCTGCCCTGGGGTGGCATGGGAGAGGCCAGATCCGTCAGTGACCCTGTGTCCCCCCTCCCTGCAGCAGCCAGCCTTGGAGGAGGTGCTGGAGGAGATCCGTGCCCTGAAGGAGACGGTCCAAGCGCAGGAGAAGCGCATCTCCGACCTGGAGAACAAACTCGGCCAGTTCACCAACGGCACGGACTAGCGCGGTGGCCACGGCCACGACCACGGGCAGGGCCAGGACTGCCCCGGCCTCCCGGGGATTAAAGCCGAGTCCCCACCTTGGGCAGGAGCCCGGAGCCGTGTTCTTTCCCCAGGAGCCGAGGGGGCAGGGAGGGCTCGGACCCTGACCCCTCCTCCACTGGCATCAGTCGCATCCTGCTCCCGGGGTGTCCTGGCACACGGGCACCCCCCTGCAGCACCCGACGGGGTCCCGCTTCAGTGCTCACAGGCTGGGGCTGCCGAGCACCCCAGCACGGGGACCTGCACGCTGGGCACCAGCAGCCTCCCAGGACAGGGCCAGGATGTGCTTGTGCACGGTGCTACACCCCCACCCCATCACCCCTCACCTCCCCCTGCCCCATCGGCCCCTCGGCGGGTGCTCCCAACCGGCTCTTTGCTCCTGCACCCCTTTAATAAAGGGCTCAGCCACCCTCGGCTGTGTGGCAGTACCAGGGACAAGGAACCACCGTGCCAGGGGTGCTGCCAGCACCCCTCTGCCAGCCCCTGCTGCCTGTGAACCCCCAGCCCGGGCAGAGGGAGGCAGAGAGAGACGAACATTAAAGAGCATTTATTGGTGTTGGCCGCGGTCGGAGCTGCTCGGGCTCCCCCGGCCCTGGCCCAGATGTTGCTGTGGGGTGCACGGGTGGGTGGAGGGAGGGGCACCAGCTATGAAAAGTCCCAGGGGAGCGAGCCCAGCCCCCCCCACCCCGCAGCCCCCAGCCCCCCGTGTGCAAAGGGGGAGCAGCCGGGGCAGGGGGCCGGGGTTAGCACCATTTGACGTAAGGTTTCTCTCGGGGTCAGTGCCCGGGACAGGGGGGTGCAGCGCTGTCAAGGGGGGCATCCGAGCAGGGTGGAGGGGTGCGAGCAGGGGTAAGGGGGGGGTGACACCGGGCTGCCCTCCACAGGCACCCCTTCAGCTGCCCCAGCAGTCCCCGTGCCATGGCGGGGCGGCTGAGCAGCCCCTCGCTGGCTGTGGGGTACAATAGGGCTGAGCCCCCACCCCTGTTGGCAGGCAGAGCAGCTCCCGGGTAAGTGCACTTGGTAGCGCCTGGGCAGGGGGGAAGAGGGAGCTGGGCAGAGTCCCCTGGCTCTGGGGGCACCCCAGGACCCCATGCAACTGGCAGCCCACCCATCCGGGGCAGGATGTGCCCCCCACCGCCTTCCTGGGGTGAGGGACTGAGCAGCACCCCGTGGGGCGGCTGGGGGAGTAGGGGTGTCCTGGAGAAGGGGTACAGTCCGTGGGGTACCCTCCCTGGTCCCTGCCACCCCAGGTGCAGGCTTAACACCCACCCCAACCCTGTGCTGCTGTGGGGTGCCCCCACCTCACCCCGATATTGCCCCAGCTCTGGGGACGTTCTCCCAATGCCAAATCCTGCTCCCCCATTCCCCATTTACCCTCCGCAGTTCTTGGACTGGCTCCCCCCACACCGGTCCCCCTCTGTATCCCCAGACACATCCCCATCCCCACTGGGGCGGGCGAGGGGCTCAGTGGGGCTGCGGGGTCACTTCTCGGTCAGAGAGAGCTGCAGGATCCGCTGCAGATCCTCTTCCTCCTGGCGCGTCCGGCGCTCCGCTTCCTCCTGCTCCCGCGCCGACAGCGCCATGGCCAGGCGCAGCTGCTCCGCGTAGCTGGGGAACAGCGCCCCGGGCCCCCGGCCGCCCCCCGGCGCCGGGGCCACGGGGGGACGCGGGGATGCCGTGTGCTGGGGAGTCCTGGGGGGCAGCAGGGGCTCAGTGGGGTCCCCGTGGGGCCGGCACCCACACCCACTCCCCCCAGGGGGGCTGGCCAGACCTTACCAACCTGTCTCCCCGGCGGCCCTCGTGCGACATGGGGTGGGTGCCCGGCTTGCTGTTGGTCAGTGCTTCCCAAATGGTCACCTGTGGCCGGTGAAAGAGGGGGGCTTGGAGGGTGGCACCCCAAAAACCAGCTCCCCCCAGCGTGAATTCTGACCCGCCACCGTGGGATGCAGGGATGGAGAGAGGTGGGGTGAGTGAGGATCTCAGGTGGCATCGGGAGGGGATGGGCAGCGGGGTCTCTCAGCCAGGAGGAGGTGAAGGGGTGGCAGTGCCCACCTGATCGTACTCGCTGCCCGCTTCCAGCAGGCTCTGCTGGATGGCAAACTGCAGCAGGTCATCCTCGTCCTCCCGCAGGGTGTCCTGGTGGGTGCCCACCACGCTGTACCCCCGTGGCACCTCGAACAGCGCCGGGTCCATCTCACACGCTCGGCACGAGGCTGTGGGGACACCAGAGCTGGCCCCTCCTACTCCACCCCTCCAGCTGTGTGTCCCTTACCCTGCTGTGACCCACTCCCAGCAGCTGTCACCCCAAGTGACACCCCTTCCCATCCCACCCCACCGTGTCCCCCCACATACTGAGGGAGCTGGAGCTGCTGACGCTGGAGGAGTCGCTGCTGGGCGAGGGTGCCTCGCTGCTGGGGCTGTGCCGCAGGGAGCTGACTGGCTCGTCACACCCATTGAGGTTGCCGAAGGTTATTCGGGCGTTGAGGATATGGAAGATGGGGATTTCTGCAGGAAAAGGGAAAAAAGGCGAGGAGGGAAGCTGGCTGTGCCAGCCAGGTCAGCAGCAGTGCCCAGTCCATACCGATCTTGACGGGGAAGCCGGGTGGGAGGCGCAGGGTGATGAAGTCCCGCAGTTTGGCGAAGAGCGCGTTGCTTATTGCCATGAGGTCGATGATGGGGGCAACCTGCTCACACAGGGACAGCGGGTGGTCCTCACACAGCCACAGCTTCGCCTTGAACCTGCCAGGGACAGGCGTTGGGCTGGGGACCCCCACCTGTCCCCACCTCGAGCTCTGCAGCAGTGGAGGCGGGGACGCAGGGAGTCCCTGCCTGCTCCTGCCCCTCTCACTTCTGTGTCTTGGTGGTGAGCTCCATGGGCCGTCCCATGTCCCGGTTGCCCAGCTCGAAGTTGGGGTTGAAGTACTCCTCAGGGGTGATGGCAGTGGGGTTGGCGTGGCTCAGTGTCTGCGTGATCAGCGTCTGCATGGAGGCACAGCCCCGCGGGGTGAGAGGGGAGGTCTGACTGCTGGGCCACCCGTTCCAACCCCTGAGACACTCACCCCATTGTTGGGCCCCACGTGCTGCTCAGCGATGCCCAGGAAGGATTGCAGGGGGGTCTTACAGCCTACGGGAGAGGAGGGGGTGAGGACAGAGCCGGGGGTGCCCTGCCCGCCCAGCCCGTGCTGGCTCCACCTTTGCTCTTGCCCTTGTGCTGGTCTGAGAGGTGCTCGGTCCGTGTCCGTGTGATCAGCTCCACGTTGGAAGCGCCATAGACCTGGCCGAGGAGGGGGAATGGCAGAGGTGGGCACCTCACAGCTGCAACCAACCACAGCCCCCCTGGGCAGCTCAACTCCCTGCCCCTCACCTTCGCCTCATACCCATTCACCATTTCCGTCTTCTCGCTCCTCCAGCCCAGGATCCCAGACTTGTTCCTAGGGTGACACGGCACCATGAACTTGCTTGGACAGCCCGGGGTGCCAGCACCCCCGGGGATGGGCTCGGTGCCACCCCAGCCCACCTCTCGAAGGCGATGTTCTTGGTGTCGAGCTGGGTGGTGACCACGGGGGCCGTCAGCCGCCCCATCACCTGCTCCTCCGTGGGCTGCACAGCAGCCAGCAGCACCTCCTGGTCGTGGCCGGCCAGGGCCAGCGTCTCTGAGTAGACCACCCTCCTGTCATGGTCAATCTCCATCACCACCGCACTGCTGTCTGCAGGGAATGGGGTCAGCACAGCCACGGTCCCCACTGTGTCACCCGGCACCACTCCCCAGTGAGGGGGTGTCACCTCACCTTGTCCCCGAAAGACGAAGCTGCGGTTGCCCCGCTGCCAGGTCATATGGTCGAAGCCCAGCAGTGTGGTGTCCACCCGCAGGTTCTGACCACTCTTCCACACCTTGTAGGTGTCGCTGGGGCAGATCTTGGACACCAGGGGCACTGGGGAGAGATGCCGATAGCCCAGCCAGGGATGGGGACACCTGCACCCCCGAGGGGGCTGCCAGCACTGAGCTGGGTGGGGGACACACCTGGGGAACGCAATGCCCTGGCAGGATGGGGGTCTGCAAGCTTGGGGTGTCGGGGGACAAGGGGGCAGTGACCCCCCACCCGGGGATGGGGATGGATGCTGGGGCTGGGGGACTCTGCTGGGAAATTCCGCTCCCCCCACAGCCACGCTGTGCCCCAAGCTCACCCCAGCTGGTGAACTCCCACTTCATCTCCACGTAGAAGTCCTGGGCCTGTGGGGAGCACAGAGGGGTCAGGGGAGCCCCGAGGCCACTGCCCCCCACCCCTGCTGAGGGAGGTACCTTGCGCAGCTTCTCCAGCAGGATGGGGATCCCTGCCAGGCGCTTGATGGCTCTCTGGTAGTCACGGTAGCGCAGGACCAGCTGCACCAGCTCCAGGTCACGGGTGCTCACAGCCTCCTGCAGGACTGTGGGGCAAAGGGGCAGAGTTCAGGGCCGTGGCACGGCGTGGCACTGCAGAGCTGGGCGCTGCACAGGAGCCACAGGCACCAAGCACCGCATGAGCAGTGCCTGCAGCACCAGGGTGAGCATGACCACGCCTGTGCCCGTGTTCGTGCCCGTGTTCGTGCCCGTGTCCATGCTCATGCCCACGCCCATCTCCGTGCCTGTGTCTGCATCAGGGCAGCTTGAAGGAGGATGGAGGGCAGCAGCCACCCGCTCACCTGTCCACCCGCTGCGGTTCTCCTTGCCCACGTCGGCGCCATGCTTCAGCAGCACTCTGGCACATTCCAGGTGGCCCAGCGTGGTGGCCAGGTGCAGGGGAGTGCGTCCTCGGGGGTCCAGCTGCTCGATGTCGGCCTGCCAGGAAGCAATGAGGCTCTGAGATCACTGGGGTGGCCGGCCCTTGCTCTCCAGTGCTCTCCCACAGATGTGCAGCTCCCAGACACAGAAAGCAGCCAACATTTGACAGTATCTGGGAGAGCAGTCCCACCCCTGACCTCCCCCAGGAGAGGCACCTCAAAGCCTCTCCTTGCTGCCGCCGCCAGACCCACGGAGAGGGCACGGAGAGCCCGGTGGTGGCAGCCAGCACCCAGCACACCTCTTCACAGCCAGGCGGGCACAGAGCGGGGGCACGGCGTGGCAGCGGGGGGCACGGACGCCCCTGGCACAGTGCACGGAGCTCTGCACATCACGATGCAGCTGCAAGCTCCAGAAGAGCCCCCACCACTGGGATTTGGAGGGGGCTGTGCCCAGTTGCCAGGCAGCAGCTGCCGGCAGCCCCCCTGTGCCAGGGCCGCCGCACGTGTTCCCCTGCCTGAGCCGGGGGCGGGCGGCTGCGGGAGCGGAGCGGCTGCTCCGAGGATCCCCGGGGCCCTGGGGAGCCGTCGCTGGGGCTGCCGTTGTTTGTGCCAAACCCGGAGCCTGGCACGCAGCCAGCCCTGAGGAATCCCTGGTGCGGTGGCGGGTGGGCACCCCCGGCACCCACGGGCCCTGCTCCCCGTGTGGGAAGCAGCGTCACACCCGTGCCCAGCTGGGGACATGGCTCGGGGAAGGGGGGGCACCCTCTGTGCCCCCAGCACCCAGCTGGGGTAGAAGTGCCTGGAGAGGGGCAATCAGATGCTGCCAGGGCAGGAGGCAGTGGGGCAGTGCCCAAATAATTGTTTTTGGGGAGGCCACCCTCAGGAGAACAAACCTGAGGTGCAGGAGCCAAAGGTGCCAGCTGGGACCGGGCAGCCAGAGGGGTTTGGGCATGGGCAGACGAGGAGCATGGGCTCCCTGGTGCCCAGAATCTCACCTGCAGCACATCCCTGCCTTGCTCTGGGCATGTCCTGCATTGCTGCTGCCCCAGGGATGTTCCTGTCCCTGCCCAGGCTGTGTATTCCCATGTCTCTCATCCACAGGGACTCACCAGGTAGGGGGACCCCCCCAGTCTGCCCACACCACTGGAGCAAAACAGCCCCCCAGTTCCCTGGGAGTCAATGTGTAGCTCCAATGCTCTCCAGGCGACTGCTGCTTAATTGCACTAATGAAACTGCTCTAATTAAGGCAATCACCCCCCAGCTGGGGGCGGGGGCAGGAGGCTCAGTGGGGGTCCCCAGCTGCAGCCCTGCCCCAGCACTGGGCAGGATGAGGGTCCCCAGTGTGGGGACATGGTGCTGGAGCCACCCCAGGGGACGTGGCGTGACCCAGATTTTGCCAGCAAGAGCTCAGTCCAGAGCCCTGGTGTTGGGTTGGCTCCAGCTTGGGGACCACAGCACAGACCTGCAGGTGCTGCCCATCCTGGGGCCGTGACACCCGCCAGGGATGAGGACAGGGCTGGGGTGGCTTTGGGGTGGCAGCGGTGCAGTGCAGAAGCGCAGCTCAGTTGCTCCTCCTGTGCCAGCCGGGCACGTGGCACAGCACGTCCCTGCACTGGGGCTGTCCCTGGGCTGGAGAACCCCAGCTCCTGCTCCTGGGTAGCAACAGGGGACATGAGCCAGCACGGGAAGATGGTGCCAGGCACTGCTGTCCCTGTGCAGCCCCGGGTCCCTGTCACGCCTCAGGGGGCAGGCTGTGGTGAGGGGTGTCCTGGCACAACAGGCTCCACGTCACTGCCTGCCACATCCTCGTGATGTCCCTGTCAAGGGGACCCACTGACCCTTGCTCCCTTGTGGACGCAAATGTGGATGGGAGATGATGGTGACAATTTGGGGGTGACAGACACAGAGCCCTTACAAGGACATGGAGAGGAGCAATGCTCTCAGCTGCCCCAGGGCTTCCCAACCCCAAACACCTGCACTGGGAGGGGCAGCACATGGAGCCACTGCCCTGTGGGGGCCACCAAGGCAGAGGGAGGGCAGAGCCCTGGGCAGGGGGGCACCCAGCCTCCAGCATTTACACAGCAGCAGCCCCAGCCCCTTACCCAGGGGATGCTCTGGCAGAGATAAGGGCTGAGCCGTGTCCCTGGATGCCCTGGACGGAGCAGGGAGCCTGGGCTGGCCCTCACCTCCTTCCCCCAAGCCCTCACCTGCCCCTGAGTCTGGCCTGCAGCACCCGTGCCCCCCCCAGTACCCCTGGGGTGCACACATGGCTGGCTGTGCCCTCACCCAGCAAATGCCAGCGGGGGCCAGGGCAGAGCCCCCGCAGTTCCCAGGCTGGCGGCAGGAGCCTCTCTGCAGGCAAGCGGGTCAGACCCCCCCGCAGCCCCTCCACCTCCCCACGTCTGCCGAGCCCGGCTTTGATCTCCGCCGCGCTGAGCTCCTGGGAAGACTGACCCCAAATTAGCACGAAAATAAAAACACTGGCCATGGGGTGGGAGACCGGGGCGATGCTGGCGCAGCCTCCGGCTGGACCCCACAATGGAGACGGGTGTGGCGGGAGCCATCGCCTGCATCCCGGCGGGAGCTTCGCGGCACAATGACCCCCGTTTCATGCATCACCAGGGTGCATCCAGCATGGCCCTCGGTGCCTTGGGGTTTGAGGACCCGGGCCGAGAGGCTGGGGATGCTCAGCACGGCTTCCCCGTCAGCCTCCCTCCAGCGCCTGCGGTTTCCTGCGTCTTCGGGGTTGGGTTTTAATTACCTGAATTGCATCGCCACGGGGGAGAGGGAGGCTGGGAACCCGCCGGGGAAGCACCCACACCCCGCTCCATCACCGGGCGGCTGGGAGGTTCCCGGGCTGAGGGACAAAGTGGGTCCCCTCACCCTGAGAAGAACCCTTGTGAGGCTGGGGGGCTGCACCCCGACAGCACCAGGACCCTTGTCCCCCCGCCCCCAGAGGGGCTCAGCCTGAGAGTGGGGAGCTGAATGCTGCAACCCCAGGGGGCTGGCAATACCCTGAGAAGCGGGGTGCGGGCCGGGGGTCTGCAGAGGCCTAGCAGGGAGCTGGAGACACGTGCGGGGGGATGCTCGGGGCTGCGTGTGCTGGAGGATGCAGGGGACCCGCGGGTGGCACCCAGCGCTCCGCGGCAGCCCGGGGACAGCAGGCACAGCCCAGGGGTGCAGGTGGGGACACACGCCACACCCCCAGAGCCCCGCCAGCGCAGAGAGCGACCCCATCCTTATCATCCCCCTCATCTCCATCCTCATCCTCACCCCGGCCCCGAGCATTGCATCAGCCCCAGCGGAGCCGGGCCGGGCCGGGCCGTGCCGGGAGTGTCCCCGCGCCGCCCCACCTGCTTGGCGCTGAGCTCCCGGTCCAGGTCACGGGCGCGGTTGTGCCAGACGAGGTAGTGCAGCGGGTACCTGCCCTCCGGCCCCTTCCTGCCCGAGCAAGACGCGAGCATCCTCCGTGCATGCTGGAGCGGCGCGGCGGGCGCGGCGCGGGGCGGCGCGGGGGGGACGCGGGGCGGGGCGGGCCGCCACCTCCCGCCCGGTGCTTCCCCGGCCCCCCCCGCACCGCCCGGCCCCATGGGACTTGTAGTTGCCCTGCCCGGCATCGCCCCCTTCTTCTTCCTCATCTTCATCCTCCTCTTTCCTCGCCCCCCTCCCGCACCGCTCAGCCCATCACCGCGGCCTGCGATCCCGGGGGGGGGGGGTCTGCAAAGGGGCACCCCATCGGCGATCAGCATCCTCCCCAAATTCCCCCTTTCCCAGGCTGATCTTCCCCTTCCCAGCTGACCTCCGCTCCCCCAGTGGGGCAGCGGGCTCGAGCATATGGCGGGGCACGGGTGACGGCGGCAGGTGGGGACCAGGTGGGGGCCGTGGGGGGACCCCCACTCCCGCCCCCGCAGCACCAGGCACGGGCCCCCAGCCCCGTTTCCTTTTCCGCCTGCGTCTCTCCCGGGCAGGCGTCGCGTTTTCCGGCTGCCGCCCGAGAACAATGCAAGGCTGGGCCTCTGCGGCCGCCCCGGCCTCCGCCGGCGCCGCGCTCCTGCCCCGCACCCCGCTGCTCCCCACCCTCCCCTGGGAGGAACCCCCCCGCTGTTATTCTCTGCTCAGCCGTGGCGGCGGCGGTGGTCGCATCCCCCCGCCCCCGTCCTCGCACAGCATCCCCCATCCCCCTGCCAGCCCCGCTGCCCCATGACGTCATGAGCCACCTCCTCAGCAGCCGCGGTGAGGTCACCCCGCCTGTCCCATGGTGCTGGGGACACCATGCGGCCCCGCTCCCCCGGCTCCCGCAGGGGTCTGACCCCCGCAGCTGTCTGTGGGGCCCCCACGGGTGTCCCCTCTGCTCCAAGTACTTAAAGGGTCGCAGTAGGGAGCAGACCCATATAGTCCCCAATCCCCCCACCCACCCCCAAAATCCCCTGTTGAGCACCCTAAAGGGTGTGTGGCCCATCCCAGTGTCCTGGAGAAGGGGGTGTGTCAGGGAGTGGGGTGCACAGGGTCAGAGGTGGCATTGGGAAGAGGGCTGGGGCTGCCCCTGGGCTGCGGCTGGATCTAGAACAAGTGTCCAAGACAGGAGTGAAGAAATTCGGGGGTGCCCTGGGCTGGGACTGGGTTACACAGGACCAGGAATAGGAATGGGAGCAGTGCCACCCCTCCAGGATAAACAGGACAAGGGCTGGGAGCAGGACCAGGACAGTGCTCTGGGCTGAGAAGGGGACCGGGAGTCCCGAGGACGGGCACTGGGGTCAGGACCAGGGGATGCCCGGGATCAGGAGCAGAGCAAGGGCAGGGCTGATGCCCAGCAGCAGATGAGGTGCCCGGGTCCGGGGCTGTCCGGGGGGCGTTTGCAGGTGCGGCTGCGGGTCGGGGGCGGCGCCGGTGCGGCTGTGGAGCGGTGCCGGTGCCCGTCCGAATTCGCGTGCGGATCCCGGTCCGTGTGCGGGGCGGGGCCGGTCCCAGTGCGTGTCCCGGTGCGGGGCGGTGCCGGCCCCGGTGCGGGTTCGGGTTCGGGTGCGGCTGCGAGTGCGGGGCGGTGCCGGTGCCGGTGCGGGGCGGCCGCGGCAGCGCTGCCGGTGGCGGGGCGGGGGCGGTGCGGCCCCTCCTCCGCCGGGGCCGGGCCTGCGCCG